AATGTAAAAGATCTACCTCATTCTTTTCCAAGGCTGCAAAGTATATATGACAGGAGAGCATGCTAATTTACTCAACCTTTAGTTGGTGGGCATTTAAATTGTTCCCATTTTTCACTATTACAGAATGTTTCTGTGACCATACTTGGGAACCTGTCAATACAGTTCTGTAGGAGAGACAAACAATTAGGCTTATGTACACAGAGTTTAAAATGTTGATAGGTTCACAGTATAAAGCTTTTCCTTCCTTCCTTCCTTCCTTCCTTCCTTCCTTCCTTCCTTCCTTCCTTCCTTCCTTCCTTTTTTTGAGACAGGCTTTCACTATGTAGCCCTGGCTGGCCCGGAACTCACTGTATAGACCAAGCTGGCCTTGAACTCACAGAGAACTACCTGCTTCTACCACTGAAAAAGCTTGTGGCACCACACCCAGCCTCTAAAGCCTGTTTTCTAATGTAAATCTGGTCTGTGGCCATACTACCCTAAATGCTCCAAGACTGGTTAATCTGAGCAGTGATCCCCTTGGTCATTGGCACACTCTCCCTTGGGAGTACTTTACTTTCTTCTGTAGCAAACTATTTTCTACACTACTATATGTTGATATGTTCAAATAGGTTCTCTAAAATGTACTGTTTCCCAGCTGTCAATGTGTAACAGAGAGCTGCAAGTGTATCAGAAACAAGTTGTCCTCACAATAGAATCCCAAACCTCCATCACATCCCTCCTTATCCCCTAGAAACACATAAAGCTGCTGCAGCAACTAGCACAAATCAGGGCACAGTGTGGTGGTGTCTAAAACACTCCTGAGTCCTGTAAAGCAAGAGCTGCCTTATCTGACGTTGCCGTTACTTCCTTCTCTAGCCTGCACAGGAAGATTCTTCTATTTTCTTTAACTTCCTGGAATTTCCAGAGATGCTGAAGGAGAGCAGTGGATGTTATTGTTTGTGGGATAGATCATCTGTGACTATTAGTTAGGTCCTTTCAAACAGTGTCCGCTTGGCATGAGTCTGAATTGATAACATAATACACAATGCAGTAAATGCTGTAGTTCCCTGAACCTCCAGTCTAAATTTTTATTTACCTACATTTCATTTCACCCAAGATTCTTGCCATCAGCCCCCGTTCCCCTGACCTATCCTGGCCATCCTGCACCCCGATGAAAGACCAGTGTACAAAGGAATGACTTAACTGTCACTCTCCTGCTCAGTGCTCTCCACTGTACCCTCAATGCCTCCAAATACCATCTCTTGATAAATCCAGGTCAATAGGTGGGTGACTACACACATTTTCAGTCTTCATGCCTGTCACTCTTCAAAGTTGTCTTCAGTCTACTCAAATAAGGTAGACAGTAGTCCTTAAACCCACTGCATACTTGTCAAAATCCTACCCAGCTGATCAGGTCCAGGTCAAACCCTTCTTTACCATCACACACCTAATTTTCACTAAGAGGTGTACGTAGGTCTTTGCATGAGAAGTCTTTATATTATGGGTGTGGGTATGGGTTTGTTCTCTACACATTGCCACAGGGGATGACACAGGAAGATTAACTCAGTGTCTATTCACTGACAAGGAAAACATGAGGGGTAAATTCCCTTGGATACTGCCCACTGGAATAGCCTGGAATTAGCCACCACATAGTGGAGCATAAGCATTATGTTGGGATATGAAAAGTATGCATGAGCTGTACTTTTATAAGTGTGTTTGCACATGTGTGTGCACGTTTGTGTGATTGCAGGTACATGTGTGCAGGTACGTGTGCCTGAATGTCGACGCCAGAGGACAATCACTCGTCATTTCTCAGGAAATGTCTACTTTTTAATAAAATTATGATTATTGGAGGGCCACATGTGCCATAGCATGAATGTGGAGGTCAGAGGATAACTTGAAGGAGTTTTTTCTCTCCTTCCACCTTTATGTGGGTTTTGTGGGTTTCAGGGATTGAACTCAGATTAGCAAGTGCTTTTACCCACTGAGTCATCTTGCCAGCTTTTTTTTTTTTTTTTTTGAGACAGGGTCTGTTACTGATCTGAAATTCATCAAGTGGCTACCAGCTGCCCAGTGAGCCCCTGTGATCCACTTGCCTCTATCTCCCCAGTAATGGGATTGTAAGCTTCTACCATCACATCTGACTTTTTAAAAAAATATGGATTATGAGACTTGAACTCAGATCCTTGTGCTGGCAAGGCAAGCACTATACATCAACTGAGTTATTTCCTCGGGCCCAAGCCCTACTTTAATTGAAAATAACATCAAGCTGGGTGCCTACCTTAAATTCCAGGGAGGCCGAGACTGGCAGATCTCTGTGAGTTCAAGGGTAGCCTAGTCCACATAGGGAGTTCTAGGCCAGCCAGTGCTACATAGCAAGATCCTGTCTCAAAAAAACAAAGCAAACAAAAAAAAAACCAAACTCTATTGTCAAGGGAAAAATTCAACTTTATTGATAGAAAAGTATCAGTGCATTTCAACATTAAAGCAATAAGATTTATATGTATTTCAAAAGTAACAATACTAAGGCAAAATTTTTATGCTACAATATGAAATCTGGGAGTCCTGGACAGTTCCTCACTGTCCTCCTCTGAAACATATACTTCAGAAATTGGGTCTGAAAAGGAACCTGCTTAAGCCTCTCTCTCTCTCTCTCTCTCTCTCTCTCTCTCTCTGTCTCTCTCTCTCTCTCTGTCTCTCT